CAGCCTGGTGGGCAAAACAATCAACCAAACATTTATAAAATGGGATGAACTAGTCCTACTATTGGCTAATCTTTTTGGATGAAACATAAGATGAGAAGGTTGAGTCTTTCAGATTACTATTCTGCTATGTTCATTAAAACAGTCTCAAATGAGTAATAAAAGTAATAGTATTAATAACATGCAGTAATTAATACCTAATTTACTCCCAGTGAATTGAGGACTTCATGAAATATGATAAAAGTTATTTCCTTGAATATATAAAACATGCTGGTTATTGTACACTTTGAAAACCTTTTTTGGCTGTAGTCCAATCTAAACTTGTCAAAAGTCAGGAATAAGCTTTCCATCATTACCATCATCCATTTTCCAAAGTTCTTGAAACAAAATTATTCACATGTGTAATTTAAACTTTTTTGACTACGGTAAATTTGAGAACAATTTAGCTGTCACAGCAGGAATCACGGATAATATAGATTAAAAAACGAGAACAATGAGATTCCATTATTACTGATAAGTATAGTCTAAAATTAGCTGATGTCGTGATTTCAGGCTTGAACGCACAGCTGTACCTTATATCTTGGAGAATTATTTGCCAGAAGTCAGCTTCAGGGAGCTCATTTTTAGTGATCACTTTCTGCAAACTTTAGTCATTGTTAAGACTTATTTTTTTTTCCCTGTATCAATTTTGAAACTAATTACTCTTAATAGAGTCACAGTAAAAGATTTTATTCATAAGTAAATATTCAATTTTAAAATATGAATTACTGTTAAATCAGATGATGTTTTTGAAAATAATCTGCATTCTTTTAAGTGTTCATAACACTTATATATAAGGTAATGCATGGTGTCTTACACAGTAGGTGCTCAAGAAATGGTTTTTGAATAAATGAAAAATGTTAGTCCTCTGCCTTTCCATCTATTACTTCTTAGATTTCTTCTTTATCCTTCTTTCACATATTTATTGAGCAACCCTGCCTCTCCAGCTCCCCAATATTCATACCATGGTGAACCCTGGCTTGCAACTTAGGTGTAATTAAGTGTTTTGCGAAAAAAAAAAATTCCCCCAGGGAATTATTAAAATTTAAAACCACATATTCATACACAGTAAAGTACACATATTCAAATATACACAACTTTTGTATATATTTCAAAAGAGTAAGTACCATCTTTCCTCCTGCTCAAGTTCATTGCCAGATTAAGAATGCATGGAATAGTTTACTGTATAGCACAGGAAACTATATTCAATACCTTGTAATGGTGTATAACGAAAAAAAATATGAAAAGGAATATATATTATGTATATGTAAGTATAAAAGAATCACATACTGTACACCAGAAATTAACACAACATTGCTAACTGACTATGCTTCAATAAAAAAAAGAAGGCATGGAAGAGTACAATGCACTTTAGAAAGAAACAACTGCATAGAGAAGAGAGCTACTGGAAAGAGATGGCATTTGAAGGCTTATCCCTTGTAAAGGGGTTATAAAGCTGGTTATATTGGAGGTGGAATTGTGAAAAATATTTGAACATTTAGAGACTCTGTAGATTCCAAACGGCAGAGGAATAAAGAAAGAGAGTAAATAAGTAACTCAAGTTGTTAAGTTGTGTTGCTCACAGAGCAAGGGATCTTATGACTAAATCTGTAACTCAAATGACAGTGAGTTACAATCTATATATTGTTGGTTGGATCATATACTGTGGAGTCCCCTCCAGACAAATGTTTCAAACCAGTTTCTCACCATAGGTGACTCTCTGGAGTATTGATGTAAAAAGATCACTGACTTTGCCTTAGAATCTCTAGCTCTGCCACGTGTCCTGGTGGTGTTGGGCATCTTCTTGATCTGATTTGATCTTAATTTCTTCGTATTTAAGTTGACAGCAATAATTCTCAACAGTAATACTGCACAGTATAGTAATAGTAACATGAAATTGATACGCTGAAGCTCTTTTGCCCTGCATGGTGTTATTTTGATAATTTATACCTAAAGAGAGAGGAAAAAAATGTAGTTTTCTGGAGAGTATAAAAGCATCAACTTTTATAATTTTTTTTACATATGTGGGTTTTTAATTGTTTTGGCCCAGTCTCTTTGAGGCAAAAGCAGAGATTGATTCTCTAATTAGATTTTATGTGTTATATAGGAAAAATGTTATTTTTAATCAAACTACTCTGAGGATTTTTCTTCAGAGACTAGGACAAGATTTTAAATTCATTTTGAGGAAAGTACTGTTTAATTATTAAAATGTGAGGTGCTTTGAATCTGTTTAAACTTGCCCAGCAGATTTCTGTCCTTTTAAAAATAATACTTGGGAAAGGAGACTTAGGTATCAGTGAAATTGTATCAGACGTTCCACAAAAATAGATTAGGTTGATAAACAACTAATTTCATTTAAGTCAACGTATGTCTCAGAACTGAAATGAGTTAGACCCAAAAGAAGTTTAAGATATAGGCAAATGGTATGAGGGAAAAATGAGGGCGCTCCACGTGTCAGAAAAGTAATATATTGTTTCAGAAGGGAGAGAACACAATAATGGAAGCCGATGAGAGCCTCACATTGTTTTCATTTCACACTGACTGAGGGAGGAGACAGGGGAAACCGAAGACTCACTCCACTCACAACTGCTTGACATGAACCGTTGTTCCTGTCCAGTCCACGGGGAGATTGGCTTTGACAGCACTGCGACCAGTTCAGGTCTCAAAGCAGGGAAAGCATGGACACATGTAACACTAGGAAGAGAAATCCTAGACGTGCTGACATGAAACAGTAAGGACAGGAGTTATTTACTTTAAGAAAAAGTGACTCAATAAGAGGATAGCGTTTAAGATAGTTGGGATGTTGTGAAGTGGCAAAGAAGTTCTTTTTCTTCTGAGATTTACACTTCATATTGACATCCTATTTACTACAAACTTTTGACACTCTCTGTGGTCCCTTTCAGCTGTCCATTTCCTGGCTTTAAAAAGTATGATGTAGATATTTATGCTAATATCTTTATAAATATTTTGTTTTATTTGAAAGAAGTAAAATAGGCTATCCTGATAGAATGTCTCTCAGTCTGGCCATTTGATTTTGGGTCTTCATCCTGAATTTCCATGCTGTTGTATAAAACAACAAGCAATGGTACCACTTCTGAGTTCCAGAACAAATATCATGGAGAATATTAAACCTCCCGGTAGGTTGGTCTATAGACATCGTTTCATCAAAACAGTCAAACAATTCCCCTCTTATAAATAAAATTGGGGATACTATTTAATGCTATTGCTATTATTTTCAAATTGCCCACATAGAATCCCAAGTAGTTAAATTTCTCACACAATTATCATCACAGAGAGACCCAACTTTTTCAAAATGCATCACAAGATAAAAATCATATTTCTAGTTGAATAACAGTGTTGGAAAGCACTGCATTAGACTTTTTTTTAATAGTAAACATTTGATTAACCCAGGTGATGTGATTTTATTTAATATTACACAAACTCACTGGAAAAGAAGACGGAGCTGAGGCTCAAGATTTCCTTCGCTTGTTTCGACACTCTGCCCACTCTCTGTGGACGTATACTATGAAATTGATCTGTTTTTCAGAGTTGTGGTTATAAAGTGGTGGCAATGTTTCAAGTCCTTATTGATACTGAGAACGTACCTAAACATTTTACAGTACTCCATTCTTATTCACGGTTTTGCTTTCCATGGTTTCAGTTATCTACGATCAACTTTGGTCCAAAAATATTAAATGGAAAAAATCTAGAAGTAAACAATTCGTATTTCAAGTTGTATGAGGTTCAAAGTAGTAGTGCCATCCTGCTCCATCCCACCTGAGGTCATTCCCTTGTCTAGCATATTCCACTTCCCACCAGGCAGGCACTTAGGAGGCATCTCAGCTTTCAGATCGACTGTTGTGGTATCACGGTGCTTGCATTCACGTAACCCTTATGTTACTTAATAATGGCCTCAAAGTACAAGAATAGAGATGCTGGCAATTCAGATATTCTCCTATTGTGGCTAATCTATAAGTTAAACTTTATCATAGTGATGTTTGTACAGGAAAAACACAATATGCACGGGATTGCGTACTATCTGAGGTCTCAGGCATACACTGGGTGTACTGGAATGTAACCTCTGCAGATAAGGGGAGACCGCTGTACGTCTAGTTATTTTCAAATCTTCCAAGGTTTATTTTATTAAAAGTGCATAATAATTTTTCACATTTCCTAATATTTCAAAACACAGTTTTCCTAATTAAAAATAGCTTTTTTCCCCCAATGATAAAAATAACATGTGTAAATCATGAAAACTAAAATAGTATTAAAAAAAAAAACTTAAGATTACTACTGTTAGTATTTTGATGAATAAAGACATCTCCCTATGAAAAATTACATAGAAAGATATCATTAATATAAAATCTATGTTCTCATACTATATATATATTCTATAATCAATATTTTCTTTAAGTGGTATGACAGGAACATCTAAAGATCTGTATTATAGACACCTGGTTCATAGTTGGGCCACAATAATTTATATATTCATTTTTCTGTAGATGTACATTTTGGTTTTCCTTCTAGTTTATTGCTATTACAAAATTGACTTTAATTAACAAATAGACACGCTTTTGTGCATGTATCTGATTATTGCCTCTGAATATATTCCAGGAAGTAGGCTTGCTAGGTCAAGGGATGTATATACTTTTAAATAAATTTTGATACAGAAAGTGTGTACTCAATGTGGCAATCAACAATGAATGAAGGCATTTCCTCACATCCATCTTCTGTAGACTTTCTAACAGACTTTGTTGTTCTTTTAAATATTCAAAAATCTTATTGGCATTGAAAGGGATCAGAATATGCCACCCCTGCAAGATTCCACTTTGATATAAGAATAATTTTGAGCTGAAGGCAACTGGAAAACAGCAGACACAAGAAAAGCTCTTTGCCCTCCTCCTTTCTGCCTGAGAGCAGGACATAAATTTTCCTTCTTAAAGGTAACATGCATTTCCATTTGTAAAGGTGTTTGCTCTCCCATACCAGAGAAACTTGAGATGGCACTGAGATGAGTCTGAATAACACATCTTACTAAACAACCCTGATTTACCATACATTTCCTCGTCACTTTCCCACAATGTATTGCCCTTTCTTAAATGACACGTAAGCACCCGTCTAATCACTTCTTTGAGTTTTCATGTCTTTCCTGTGGAGTCTCTGGGCACATAAAATTTGTACGCCTTTCTCCTGTTAATCTCTCTTTTACCAGTTTAATTTGCATGTCTCAGTTGCTGAACATAAGAATATAGAGAAAACGTTTTTCCTGCCTTTCAGCATAAAATGCCTTATGTGTGATGTCACAAAGTTGAATGGAAAATGGCAGTAGACTTAAAGAAATTTTAAGTTTTCAAAATAAAGTTTAATTTCATAGTATCTTGCTTATAGTAGAAAATGGCTATTTATAGATACTTCTCAGATAGCTTTTATCCCAGCCTAGCGAAGCAAGATTTAAAGCTCATAATGGGTAAGAAATAACTGCTTCCTTCCTCCTGTCTTATTCTCCTCCCTTCCTTCCTCTCTTCCTCCTCCTTTTTCTGTCTTATACTCTGCTGAAATCCCTGATTGAAAACATACTTGATCCCTTAGTTTTTCTTAGGTGCTGGGACATAAAAGAGAGAATTATGCCTGTCTCTCTCTGGGAGTTTACAAACGGTGCTATGTAGACAACTGCAGTGAAACAAAGATCATTAATAACAGTAGCTTCCTTAGTGATGTAAGTTCATGGATGACAAAAAAAGGCCTTCCCGTTGCAGGGATGTTTCCTGGTGAAATGTACAAAGGCTTTGGAGTTAGACAAGCAGGAGTTTAAAGTTTGGCTTGTCCACTAGTCAGTCATCCAGCCTGAGGCAAGCCTCTTTGCTGAACCTTAAAGTCCTCATTTGTAAAACAGAGAATAATAATGACTTAGAAATTATTTTAGAATTAAAGATGGTTTAGAGCACATAGCCCAGTTTTGCATTTGGTAAGTATTATTTGCATTCTTTAGTTTGTAAATAGTTGAAATTCCACAAATAAAAACTATAAACTGTTAGGGCTGGTAGGGTTTTTCTTTAAAGACGACCCAGTTTTGATTCATTGTGTTAAAGTTAGAAACAACAACAACAAAACAGAACAAAAACTTGAGGCTTAGAATTGGCAATAACTTCCGTAAGGACAAATAGTGATTAGTTCAGGGTCACACAAGTTGAAAGTTACAGAGTACAGTGCTTGTGTGAGAATAAGATTAATTTCTTATCTAAAGACTTTGTCCTCTTTCAAAATTCAAATTACCTCGAGAGAGATAACATCTTAGGCTGGTTATCAGTTATAATTTAGTGTTACTGTTTATAGAGCCAATAAAACATTTCCTGAGATAGTCATAACTTTTATATTTCATATAAAATTAGAAACTGTAGATGAAGATGAACATACCATGTACTTTGAGAAGATTTAGCAGAAAGAAGGATACATAGAATCACCAAAAGGCAGAGGGAGAATGTCTGTATTTTCCAGTGGTATTACATTATCATTTGGTTTAATCCTATGGTAATATGAGGTGGATGACTTTATCTCCATTTTAAACAAAAGATCTGAGGCTCAGTGAGAAATTTGGTAGAGTCTGTACTCAGAACTGTCAGCTTGGCTCCAGATCCTATGGTGTTCCCATTATATCATAATGCCTCCAGCCAAGGTTGGCTACCTAATAACAGTTCTGCCTAAGGTCAGCCTCGGTGCTCCATCCAGCTTGTAGTCCCAACATGAACTCACTGAACTTTTTTGGGGGGTGTCTAGAGCAAAGCAACTGTTATTAAAGGCCCATAGCCAAAAGAAAATGGGAGTTTAAACTTTTAAAAAAAGTAGAAAAACTTAATCAGACCTAGTAATTAAGAAAAAAAGCAGACTCTATATTTACTTTTACAACTGTCAGATTAGCACTCCCCCAAATTTTGCCTCCCAATATCTTCTATCCCCACTGTTCCCACTAGAGAAGCACTTCTTTGAGTTGATTGTAATAGTCATTCTTAAATTTTTGTCTCTTTGTACTTTGCAGCACTTGGCATCTCTTTGTTAGCTCCTCTGGTTCCAATGACAACCCCCAAAGACAAGATAGGAAGGTAACTGGGGCGTTTTATCTTCCAGGCTTCCAGGTATAAGAGTTTTAGGAGGAGTGGTGGCAAGGATGAGGACAAAAGGTGGGGAGGACTTGGAAGCCTGGCATTGGCAATTAAAAGGGCAGTTTGTCTCCTGCAGAGATGCCTTACGGTGAGCCTTGATGGGGTAGACTGAGCAGGAGAAAGTGTGGATAGGCTCTGTATTTAGACCTCAGTAACCCAGAGTTTGCTGCATTCAACTTCGTTGAGAAAGTTACCGTTTATTCTCTGATTGCTTCTGTAGGGTAAACATAATCATCATCATTATCCACAATCATAGGGTGAACACATATTTTTTTCATGTGGGGAGGACATAGAGAAACAAAATAGTTTCCAACCGCAAGGAAGTGATAGTTGTCGACAAGAGCTCAAGTTGATCTTGTTCACCTTGTAACTTGGTGTGGCAGGCCAGACAGATGACTGCATGCCTGTAGAGGATTGAGTTCCTTTTTCACCATATATCCTAATTTATCTCCTATGGTACCACAACTGTGGGAGGATTATATACCTTTGCCTGTTGAACTCAGGGGCATTCATGTGATTTTCTTTGATCAGTAAAATGTTGGCAGATGTGCGATGTGTCGTTCTGTGAAACAGCTTTGAGAACTAGTGTTTGGTTCATAGTTATGTCTGTTTTCTCTGCATCTGTGATCATGGAAAATTAAGGTAAGATGAAATTTTCTGTCAGACTGGTCAGTGAGTGACCACAGTGAGCAGAACCCCCCTGTGAACTTGCAGGAGGTATATAGTGTGAGTGAATATATATTTTACTGTTTTAAGCCATTGGGTTTTCAGGCTGTTTATTATTGCAGCATAACCTCACGAATCCTGACAGAATGTCTAAGTACTATTTATTGAATAAATGAATAAAGAATGAACTTGTTTTTAGTGTCTAATATTTGCAATTGACTTTCTAATTGCTTTAGGAAGTTAAAAATTGAATATTACATTTGACAAATAATCTATAAATATATCTAATTAAAAATATTATTTAAAAATTATAAATATTAATCCTTTTTTGAGTCCAGGGACAGTTTCACTGAGCAGTTACTAGGCAGCAGGGTTTATATAAAGTTACAGTAAGAATGTGAAAAGAGGAATTTACTAATTCTTTAAATGTTTGCTGAATGATTACTGTGAGTCATGCATTTTGTTTAACACTTCCTATTATTCAAACATATAATACGTTTTGAGCCTGTTGAGTGGTTATTATTATTATTTTTTAATTTTCATAGAAAACTGGCAGGTAAATTCAATCCTAGTCTTTAGGGAAGAGACTGCGTTTCCATCCATTCCATTCTTTCCCTCCTGCACCAAGGATAAAAGCCTACTGGGAGACATTTACACTGAAAGACACGCTGATTATTAAGGCAAACTTGATAGCTTTAATGTTTGTAGAGAGAATCATTAAAGTTTATATGTCCACCGATAAGGGCCAGCAAGTTCCTTCCCAGGGCCAAAGTTTATTGATTCAAAAAGTCAGGAAAAGTCAAGGCTGGGAGGAATCAGAGGACTCATTGTTGGCTATGAGGCTTGTGGGAAAGTAAGGCTCTGGTCCTGAATGGAACTGAAGCATGGGAAGAGAGCAGCGGCGGGAAAACAGGTAACGTGGCCCAATGAATGCATTAAAAAGTTTAACCTCCAAGACTGGATTCTGTTGAGCTGAGCAAGAAAGCAGAAACGGATTTTCCTTGGGAATGAGGAGAAGTAAATAACTGGAAAATTAAGAAGCAAGATGAGCAGGATGGTTCCGTTGGAAGTGAGCCTGGAAAGAAGCTCGCAGAGTGAACCCTCAGGAGTTGGCCTTCTCTCTGGCCAAGTTCCCTTCAGCAGATGGGCTTTTGTGGTCATCCCTGCAGCCAGAGACAGCACCCGCGTCAGAGGCACAAAGGATGGGATCTTGGCAGGAAATCCACTAGAGAAGTTTATTAGTTACTTAGGCAATTATTGGAATATTTTAAAAGATACTGTAATGAGATACAGAGAGCCATGGAGAAGCCATTTAAATTATCTGGAGATAATCAGAGCCTTTGATTCTGTCTTTATCTGCTCCACGAAGGGTAGTTAACTATACTCTATTCAACTGAGTGTAAATTCTACTCACTCTTGTCAGTCTTTTTCAGATTTTACCTCCTTCAAGGGTCCTCACTGCTGCCTTAACTGGATATAACTTCTTTCAGTAAACAATCATAAAATTTCAAATATAACTTATCATATGTATACCC